GAGAAGTGGGAGCGATCAAATCGCATGAGTCTGATGATCATGAAGAGCTCAATTCGGAAACATTTAGGGGCAATATGGTTGAGGATAAAAATGCCAAATTGTTTCTGGAGGAACTTGAAAAACGCTTTCTCAAAAGCGATAAGGCGGAGACAAGTTCTCTTTTGGGAAATCTTGTTTCCATGAAGTATAAGGGATCCGGGAACATTAGGGAGTACATTTTGCAAATGTCTAATCTTGCTTCAAAACTTAAGGCACTACAGTTAGAGTTGTCGATGACTTGCTCGTATATTTGGTTTTGAACTCTCTTCTGCATAATTTGGTCTCTTTAAGGTCGGTTATAACGCCAAAAGGAGAAGTGGACTCTTAATGAGCTCATCTCACGTTGTGTAGTGAAGAGGATAGGTTGAAGCAGAAAAGACTGAAAGTGCTCATTTGACATCAACCTCTAAGGAAAATAACAAGAGGAAAAGGAAGGACAAAGAAGTTGTGGTTGCAGCTCCACAAAAGAAACAAGTTAAGGAAAATGGATCAGCTTGTTTCTTTTGTGGTAAAACTTCTCATCAGAAGAAAGAATGCACTAAGTATCACGCTTGGCGTGTGAAGAAAGGTATGTGCATTGTTTTTGTTTGTTCTGAGGTTAATTTGGTTTCAGTACCAAGACATACTTGGTGGGTAGATTCCGGTGCTACTGCTCATATAAGTGTGTCTATGCAGGGTTGCCTGAATTGCCGAAAGCCAAGTGATGCTGAAAGATTCATCTATGTGGGCAATGGCGAGACAGCTGAAGTTGAAGCAATAGGCACTGTTAGGTTATTATTAAAGACTGGTTTTTATTTGGATTTGGAAGAGACATACATTGTTCCTTCTTTTAGAAGGAATTTAATTTCTGTTTCCTTGTTGGACAAGTCCGGTTATTTTTGTTCTTTTGGAAATAGCCAGTTTACTCTTTTTCAAAATTCAAATAAAGTTGGTTCTGGTTCTTTATTATGTTATGATAACCTATATTTACTGGATATTGTTGCTTCTTATAATGAAACCTTGCATGTTGATAAACGTGGTACTAAAAGAAAATTAACCAATTAGAATTCTGTGTCACTTTGGCATAAACGTTTAGGGCACATCTCTAAACAAAGAATTGAAAGACTTGTGACAGACGAAATTCTCGATGCACTTGATTTTTCAGATTCCCAAATCTGTGTTGAGTGTATTAAGGGAAAACAAACAAATAAAAGGAGATTAGGTGCCGAAAGATCTAAAGATGTCTTAGAACTAATTCATACAGACATATGTGGGCCATTTCCTACAGCTTCTTGGAATGGTCAAACATATTTTATTACGTTCATAGACGATTATTCACGTTATGGCTACCTTTTTCTCATTCATGAGAAGTCTCAGGCTCTAGACGTGTTCAAAAGTTTTAAGGCCGAAGTTGAAAATCAACTAGGCAAAAGAATTAAGGCTGTTAGATCTGATCGTGGTGGTGAATACTACGGTAGATATGACGGATCAGGTGAACAACGTCCGGCCCATTTGCCAAATTCCTAGACGAGTGTGGAATCGTCCCACAGTACACCATGCCTGGTAGTCCTACTATGAATGGTGTTGCTGAAAGACGAAATAGGACACTAAAGGATATGGTGAGGAGTATGATTAGTCGTACTACTTTGCCAAACTCGCTTTGGGGAGAGGCATTAAAGACTGCAACATACATTCTTAACAGAGTTCCAACTAAAGCAACAGTCAAAACTCCTTATGAATTATGGACTGGCAAAAAGCCCAGTATTAATCACTTACACATTTGGGGTTGTCCAGCTGAGGCAAGGCCTTATAGGCCTAATGAAAAGAAACTGGACTCAAGAACGATTAGTTGCTATTTTGTTGGGTACGCTGAAAGGTCTAGGGGATATAAGTTTTATGATCCCAAAAGTAAGTCCTTCTTTGAGACGGGAAATGCCCAGTTCTTTGAAGATATTGAGTTTGGAGGGGAAGATAAAGTTAAAGATTTTGTCCTTGAAGAGGAATTAGTTTCTCTTCCTAAAGTTGCTATCCCTGAGATTGTTCCTAAAACAATTCAAGAGATGCAAGGCAATGATGATTTCCCTCATCAAGTTCAACAGGATATTCCTGAATATCAAACTCAACAGCCTCAAGAACAAATGCCATTAAGGAGGTCCACTAGAGAAAGGAGAAATGCAATTCCAGATGACTATGTTGTCTTTCTCCTTGAACATGAGGAAAATAGTGGATTGATGAAGATGATCCAATCAACTTTAGTCAAGCCATTAAAAGTACCAATTCTCAAAAGTGGATTGATGCCATGAATGAGGAAATTAAATCCATGAGTGACAATGACGTTTGGGATCTTGTCACATTGCCTAAAGGTGCGAAACCCATTGGTTGCAAATGGATATTTAAGACCAAAAGGGATTCAAAAGGTAATGTGGAAAGATATAAGGCTCGTCTTGTCGCTAAAGGATTTACTCAGAAGGAAGGCATCGACTATACAGAGACTTTCTCTCCAGTATCATCGAAAGACTCTTTTAGGATTTTAATGGCACTAGTGGCACATTTTGATCTCGAGCTACATCAGATGGATGTTAAGACAGCGTTTCTTAATGGAGACATTGATGAAACAATTTATATGGTGCAACCTGAAAACTTTGTTTCTAAAGATTCAGAGCACATGGTTTGCAAACTAAAGAAATCCATCTATGGGCTTAAACAGGCATCCCGTCAATGGTATCGCAAATTTCATCAAGTTATAACCTCTTTTGGTTTTGAGGTAAATTTGGTGGAAGATTGTGTATATCACAAGTTTGTTGGGAGTAAGCACATTTTCCTGGTTCTGTATGTTGATGTTGATGACATACTACTAGCCTGCAACAATATAGGCTTATTGCACGAAACCAAGAAATTTCTATCAAAGAATTTTGAAATGAAAGATCTTGGTGACGCTTCTTTTGTGTTAGGTATTCAGATACTCCGGGATCGCTCCCGGGGCATACTTCAGTTGTCACAAAAGACCTATATCGAAATAGTTCTTAAGAGATTTGGAATGCAGAATAGTAAATCATGTGATACCCCAGTTTCTAAAGGAGACAAATTTTGTCTTGAACAATGCCCTAAGAATGATTTTGAGAAAAAGGAAATGCAAAAGGTTCCTTATGCTTGGTGTAGGAAGTCTTATGTATGCTATGATTTGTACGCGTCCGGATATTGCGTACATTCTCGGAGTTTTAGGCAGATTTTTAAGCAATCCAGGTTTGGATCACTGGACAGCAGCCAAAAGGGTTATGCGGTATCTTCGAGGAACTAAAGATCATATGCTCACATATAGGAGGTCGGATCGGTTAGAGGTCATTGGGTACTCCGACTCGAGATTATAATGGATGCCCTAACAGTTTGAGATCCACTTGAGCTACATTTACATGTTATTTGGAGGAGTCATTTCTGGAAAAGTGTTAAACAAACACTTATAGCTACTTCAACTATGGCAGCTGAATATATAGCTTGTTTTGAGGCATCCAATCATGCAATATGGTTGCGAAACTTTGTCACGGGGCTGCAAGTTATAGATGGTGTTGATGGACCACTTAGATTATTTTGTGACAATAAAGCATTGTTGAATTTTCTAACAACAATAGGAGCTCTACCAAGTCTAAACATATAGACATTAAGTACCTAGTTGTTAGAGAAAGAGTTCGAATGGTCGATTTCTATAGAGCACATTGGGACAAACTCCAATATCGCGAGATCCATTTACCAAGGGTTTACCACCCAAAGTCTTTCTTGAGCACCTTGCTCAAATGGGTGTTCTTTTGTCTTAGGATATGTCGGATCGGTGGGAGTTTGTAATTTATGTTTTGTTTATGGATATTTGGTTTTAATGCTGCAGCATAAAGCATACAGTTTAAAGTTCTAAAGTTTTCTTTTGGTGTGCTTACATTTGGTTTTATATTTGATCTCACTAAAGATTAAGTAGGACCAGTTAGAAATAGACATGTTATAGATCACATTACATGTAATTTCTATGCTACACATCCACACTTGATCCATGTCATTTAGTTATATTAATGTGTGTGACCACTGATGGGTTTAGTTGTCATTCGTGCAACGACTGCCCCTTTGATCCTATGCTAATATAATTAATGGACGGGATTGTTTAAGTTACTTTATGATAGCAAATTATGCGCGCTCTTAAGTTTACAGTGTAATATACAATTATAAAGAATATGTTTGGTGTATAGTCCAAGTGGGAGATTGTAAGGTTATTTTGGACTTATACACTAAACATATAATTGTATATTATATGCTATCATGAAATATAACCCAATTAAAAGTGATCTAAATTATATTAACTAAAGTTTTGGGCTAATTATTAATTAAGTTAAAGTTGTGGACATCATTGTGTAGAAACCTAAAGACCAGGGTTCTTTTCTGTGATGGGTGGAAAAGAAACCCTACTACTATATAACTGGTTGTGGTCCCTGGGTGACTCTTTACACCGTCAAAAACTGCCTCCCCATTTGTCAGTTTGAGAACTCACGTTCTTTACCCGGTTAAAGAAATCATCTGGAAGATCAAACCAAACTGAAGAAATTATTCATCGTCAATGGATTCAGGTACGCTTCCGCATTAGTTTGGTTCTCGTTATTTGATTTGGAGTGTTAGGCTAAAGGATTTAATCCTACAGTTAGTTCCATCCAGTTGATATTTTAAATTACCATATTGGACACGCTGGACAGGCTGGTGTTCCTCAAGCTCTCCCGGGCAACTTCTTTCGCCGCATTCGTTTAATCCTGCTCAGCAAAATTATGGATATTACGAGAGGGTTGACTACGGAAATGGGACGGAAGGAATACCAATCCCCTTGATAAACATTTTAACAAGAATTAGCATGATACTTTTGCATTTTATTGGAAGCTAATAAAGCTAGATGAAATCTTGAGAGGAGACAAAGGAAACAAATTTCAAAGGTAAATTATCTTTGTGAAGGAGTAACAATTCCTGTTTGATCATATGCAAAAAACAAAATAAATCTACAAAGTTCACCATTTCTGTAAGTATCAATTCATCATTTATGAGCATCCACCAGGCCCAAATCCTAGCCTTCTTCCAGCATCATCAAAAACTACTTGCAGAGTTTGTTGCTGAATATTCCCGAAAATTGCGAGGTCAGCAGGGCCATTATTTTCAGCAAATGCCAAGCAGGTCTGCGTTTCACTGACGGGGACAAGTATACCATTAGCACCCAAATCCACAGTTACATTTCCCCTGAAAATGAAGCTGATTTTGGGTACATTTACAGAATCTACGCCGCTGAAATCGTAGCAAGTATCCAGCAGTGAAAGGGCAGGTGCCAATTTATAGCCCTTCATCTGTTGCTTAAAAGTGTCCCGGAAAACAGAGTATGCCGCCTGAGGTAAACGCGTCACCACGGTGCCGGAGTCAATTATGGTTCCGGCAGTCAGGAAAACCGTTGGGAGAACGGGTAATCGTTTCCCTCCGACGCTGATGCCGACCAGGTCAACGGAATAAAAGTTCTCGCTTGGTTTAAAGATTGAGAACGGGGTGAATTTAACAGTCTTCACAGAGTATCCTGTTTTCCCGAAACTTAAATATCCATTCGATCCTGACCATGTGGGAAGGCAATAGGAAAATACTCGGCCGTAATTTTTAGCAGTTTGGGACACAATCGAAATCTGGCTCCGGCCAAGTCCTAACAACCCGTCAGTATTTCCGTATAATCCTTGGTTGTTCTGGGCACATCCGAAGAGGAAACCGGGTAAAACATCGGTACCTAAAGTCACCGTCTCTTTAGCTAAAAACCCAGCAGAGAACGACTCGTCACCGTATTGAATATCGTAGACACAAGTCGTACCGGAGCAACTGGCGGCGTGGCCGGTTGCGTGTCGGAGCAAATAACATTGCGGTGAAGAACAAGAGATGTTGTAATAAGTGGAGGATTGGAAGGGATTGAAGATAGGATCGTTTTGAGGGTAACAAAATTTCTTACATGGTTGGCACTGTGTCCAGGTTAGGTCGCTTCCGGTGTCCAAAATGAGAGTGTAGTCCTTCTTCGGGGTTCCGAGACCGACGGTGACGACGTAGTTCCCAGTTCCGAGATCATTTCCGGGCTTATTCGGGAGACTTATTTGACGGTCTTCAAGGATTAGTCCGTTTGTGTTTGAAGTTGAAGAAGCCTGCAGGCGGGATTGGATTGAAGCTACCCGAGATTTGTCGTGACTGAGAATTTGCGAAAGTGTCAGTTTGCTTGATTCTCCTCTGTAGCAGGCGCCGTTTCTGTTCACTATTTTCAGGGTTGACTTTCCGGTTGGACCTGGTCATGTGAAATGATCAATTGATTAGTTTGTTGGATTAGTGACACGTAATTAAGGGACTTGATTGAGAAATGTAGAGAAAGAAGAAGAATGACAGCTAATTAAGGGTGATTTATTTAACACATAATGCCTAGAAAATGCAACTAATTAATTGATCATTTCACATGGAACCTATATCTCATATCCATATTTTGGAACCTTATCAAACTTGATGATTCGTAGTAGTATCAAAAAGATTCTTTGGTCATTTGGCAGAATAACACAAATTATTTTCCCGAATTGATTACTATTTGATAACAATATATGTTCACAATTAGTATCCGTAACAAATTTCTCGCACAATTATAAATTAATTTGATATACTAACAATTTTTTGCCCAAAATGATTAAAACTAATTCATAATGTACTTGATTACTATACCAAACAGATGCTTCAAGCGGCTTGGGCATCAAATTGATTGATACTAACTATATCATTCGTCAATTCTAGTTGTAAATCGAGAATATCTCTTTTTTCCCCTATTTTAAGGTTACCGACGAAGTAAATTGTTAATAGCCAGATTCAAAAGACAATTTGCACTCCTGAAGTATCCCATTTTTTGCTTCATAATAGAATATGATATATATAACGTGCTTCGACCGTTGCTAGCATAGATACGAAAACAAAATACCGTGAAAATGTCTATGACAAGAAGCTCATTCTTAATGACAATGATTTATAAATCTCAGGATGAAATAGAAATATACATATATATATGGGGTTTAATCAGAGTCGAAATAATTACCTGCTGAAGTGGTTGATTTGCAGTTTAAGGAAGGCGAAAGTTGGCGGACTGGAACGGAATGGAAGCTGGTGGTGTGTTGCGTTAGACTCTCTTCGGAAGCAGCATCACATTTCTTCAAAGGGAAAGATATGGAAATCATAACCAAAAAAATGTAAAAGATGATTTTGAAGGAGGTCATGGAAACCGGAGAAGCCATTACAATTAATCTGCTTCTGTTGCAAAGCTTATTGTAAAGGATATTGATACATTTAGATGATTACTACATTTATATATATAGGGATAGTGTGTTTAATTTAATCAAGGCTTTGGAGGTGCATGGTTAATTTAATAATTGTTTTAAAATCTTTTAGTTTTGTTCAATTGACCAGCTGCTAGGTCACTTTCGTAGTACGTTCCGTAAGCTGTACGTGGATTAGCTAATTATAATGGATTTTGGGTGATATGTCACACATGCTTCCATCAAGAAAAAAAGTCAAATACTTCCTTCCTATTCATTTCTTTTCCCGCAGGAAAATCCGTTCGAATCTTTTCATTTGGCTTCTTTTTCACATTTCGGGTTTTTGTGATTTTTTTTTTTAATAAGACAAGACATTGATTGTTGCTAACAGTAACTTATGTTGATAATTGAATAACAAGCACTTTGAGATACCTTACTTCCATAACTAAAGTTAATTTTTGTGTGTCAAGTTTAATAATTTCAAATCAATCATTCAACTTCACGGTTTCTCCACAGTTAAAGCTATTCTTTTCTTTTTTTATTAAAAAAAAAAATTAATGTCCATTCTGATTGTTAAGGACTAATTTTGCTCTGTTGTGGTCCGATATTTTTAAGTCAGACATATTTATGGCGAGAATACATAGTAGTATCTATCTTCTTTTTTTTTTTTTTTTTTTTGCCCTTTTCCTTTTGTATTTGATTTATATGCTGGAGATATGTGTTTGTTTTCTTCAATATGATCACAAATTTGATTCTTTCAGAAAATCCTTTTCCCATTCGCTTGGAGGACTTACTCAGGCTTAAAGGTAGGACTCATAATAGTATTGTTTGTAAGTAGTTGACTATGTGTAGAGCTTAATCACAACCACCGACACATTGAGCTAATCTGAGTTGGCAAATTAGTTGTTCATTTGTTTTGTTTATTGTTACAATATATTTAATCTTTCTTACAACTTTGTATGCATATATGGCGACTCAACTTCGGTGAAACATTTTAATAGCACTCACAAGTTTAATTACGAGCCGATTTCAATTTCATTTGTTCATTTAAAAGCTCAACTTAGGTAACTAATGAACAACTTACGTAGAACGTATATAATTTTTGTCCGATAACCTGGCCAGTGAAAATATGTAGCAAAAATGGAATTGCGAGAACAAAATCACCAAATCAAAACTTCATTTCTTAGCAAATTAGCTAGCAACATTTTCTTTCTTCATTTCATAGCAAATTGTGTGCCGTGTTTCATATGGTAGGAGAAGCAAATGATGAGGTCCCTGGCCAAAAGGGTGAAAGTAAAGCAAAAAAAAAAAAATTAAAAAAAATTAAAAATAAAAATAAAAATAAAGCACGAGGAAAGACAGAAAGTAAACGTTAAAGATACGGTTATGGCAGAATATATACGATTCTCCCGAATATGTTTCCAGATCTCCGCGTTCTCGCCGATATAGGGGGAAGGTTTAAAAATCTTAAATATGAATGGATGAACATGACTGTATAAGGATGAAACTAAAATCTGATATATTTTACTTAAAAAAAAAAAGAAAAGAGAATGATGTTTCCCTTTAATACAAGAAGTCTTTCCGAATAATCTACCATAATTACAACATCAAGACCTAATGAAACTTCTAGGAAAGAGCTTAAACTACATAATAAAATTTTAACTTTAACAGCTCATCATCAGGCCATAATCAGGTGCACATGATCATATGTGTACTCCTTGTGCTCCATCAGGTGATTTGAGTTCGATTCTTGCTGCTGAAGTTTTCTGGGGAACTATATTTCTATAATTCTTCACCCCTTCCTCAAGATGAGTACTCCATAGACTCATCTTGGACAGTAGAAAAGCAAAGGTGACTGCTGGTAGTGACTTGGTGAAGAAATCTGCCAGCTGTAATGAAGAAGAAATGTATAAAGCAAACATTAAACCAGCTTTGTATTGATCTCTAACCACATGACAGTCAATCTCAATATGCTTGGTTCTTTCATGAAATACGGGGTTAGCTGTAATATCCAAGGCAGCCTTGTTATCATAGTAGAAAGGAACAAGCAATGAGGGAGAAACAGTGAAATTCTTCAGCACATATAGAATCCATTGCAGCTCTTTGGTGGCCATAGCCATGGCTCTATACTCAGATTCTGCTGAGAAGCATGATATAGTTCCTTGTTTCTTAGTTTTTCAGCTCACTAAACTATCTCCAATGAAAATACAATAGCCAGTTATTGAATGTCTTGATGACCTGCATGATCCTCAATCTGAATCACTGTAGACTCTGATGTTAAAATTAGAGCTGGATGGATAAAACAAACCTCGATCAACACTCCCTGATAAGTATCTAAGAACATGTTGTGCTATACTCCAGTGAGACATGTGTGGCTTCTGTACATGCTGACTGAGCTGTTGGACTGCATAGGTTACATCAGGTCTAGTAAAATTCAAATATGAAAGCCGCCCAACCAATCTTCTGGATTGCATAGGATCAGAATATGTAGGAGTTGAATCCTTGTCTTCTGATACAAATACCAATCCAGCTGGAAAAGGAGTTGATGCTGGTGAACAGTTAAGAAATCTAGTTGAAGCTAGGAGATCTGTAACATATTTGCTTTGGTGAATGTATATTCCAATGGGAGTTCTGGCCACTTCCATCCCAAGGAAGTATTTGGCATGTCCCAAATCATTGATTGTGAAGAGATCATGAAGATAAACCTTTACTTTAGCAATTTCTGAAGCATGTGTTCCTGTGATCAGAACATCATCCACATATACCAGAAGATAGAGTTAACATTGAGCAGTGACAAAAGTAAATAAACAAGGATCTGAGTATGATTGTTGAAAACCAAAAGCAACTAACTTAGCAGAAAATTCCTGATTCCACTGCCTTGATGCCTACTTTAAACTATATAACGACTTCTTTGATTTGCATACTTGTCCATTCTGAGCTTCATCATAACCTAATGGTGGCAGCATATATACATCTTCTTCAAACTTCCCATGTAAGAAAGCATTGTTAACATCAAGCTGATGAACTGACCAGATGTTAACAGAGGCTATAGCAAATATAATTCTCACTGTAACCACTTTAGCGACTGGTGAAACGACCTCACAAAAATCTTCTCCTTCAACCTGACTATGACCTTTAGCAACCAACCTGGCTTTGTATCTGTCTACTGTTCCATCTACGTTCCTCTTAATTTTATATACCTACTTGGAACCAACAGCTTTCTGATAGGTCTTGAAGTTTCATGTTATTTATGGGTATTTGTATAGCATTTTGGATTAGATTGTGCACTTATATTATGTATTTTGATATTTTTAGTTCCTAGTAGTCTTTAGAGATGAGATGGAACAAAATGTTCCACAAACACACATTTTTTGAGCATTTTGACAAGGAAGCACAAGAAGGAGCAATGACATCACATTCTCGTGTGGGCACACGAATCTCAGTCCAAAACTGAGCTTTAGAGAAGAAATTCCAGCATTGAGGCTGTATTCTTGTTTGGCCAAACCGAAATAGGGATTAAAATAAAAAATTAAAAAAGTTTTAGGGTCAAAATGTAATTTTGCCAAACTTGAGAGATTTTGCTGCTGCGGATTTCTGAAGGGCTGCTGCGGCTGACCTATTTTTTGATGATAAATAGACTTTTCTTTTCATTTTTGAAAGAGTGGTAGGTAGTAGAATAAAAATAGACGTAGTTTTCCACTTTTAAAAAGCTTTCAAAGGCACTTTCTTCATTTTTTGGAGTCTTCCGAGTTCATAGACATTAATCGGTAACATTGTTCAATGAAGTTTTCTTGTGATTCAGTTTTCATGATGAGTAGCTAAATTCATTCATCTGGTTGAAGGGTATTGAAGCATTGGTTTGAATAGTTGTGAGATCTAAATATTGTTTCTCTCTCAATTTCTTGTGAGTATTTGCTTGTTCTATTGCATGATTGATATGATTATTGTGGATTCATGAATAGCTGGTAGCATTCGATGCTTCTTAATAATCTAAAACCAATAAGACAACAAGATTTGTTGTTTAAATAGGGTAAAATATAATTTAATTACTTGGTAAGTAATTATTTATGTTATAAGAACAAGTAATCCGGTTTATATAAAACAAGGTTTGTTTTATAAGAATTGAGATTGGGTCTATGTGTTTAATGTAGTAGTTTTCTAAATCTTAGGAGGTTCCAAGATTTGTTTTCGACTAGTATATGATTAATGAAGGTTTCTTAATCATTGAACTAAATGAAAGATTGAATTGTTTGGGGGTTCTAACAATGAAAACTACTCTACTCATAAGTTAATGATAATATCATTGCATCTATGATCAACTGTTTAAATCAAGGTGGATATACAAACCCTTCAGCCAGATATTTTCTCATTATTTGTTTGCATCATTTTAGTTATTGATTGCAATTTGTTTTGTTTGCAATTTATTTCAACAACTCAAAACCCCCCATTTGTTACTTGATTTAAAAGAGAGAAATTCACCATTCCCTGAGGAGATAACCTTACTTTCCTGTACTACATTAGTTTGGAAATAGGTTAAATTGTTTGTTGGCTTGACACCTCACCACTTTTTTTCCAACAGGCAAATTTGTTAATTCCCAAGTATCAATTACTTCTAGTGCTGCCAACTCATTTTTCATAGCCTCCACCCACTTAAAATTAGTCTTTGCTTGATTATAAGTATTAGGCTCAGATGAATCAGACACGTTTGCAACAAAAGTACTATATGCAGGTGTAGTAACAGGAGGTATAATAGTAGAAGATGTAATGCAAACAAAGGATGTATCATAATCAGCCATCCAAACTGGTGGATATCTTATTCTTGTACTAGTTATAGGAACAGGCTCTGGATTAGTATCAATGATAGAATCAGATGGAGAAATAGAAGATGTGGATGATGTAGAAATAGATGAATTAGGATCATATGAAATGACAGGTGAAGCAGGATCATCTGTGAGGGGAGTATGATCATTAAGGTAAGAGGGCAAGATTGAGTCTGAATTGTCATGATCAAAACAGGTGATAGGTGATGATTCTTCAGTCACAGAAGGATACACCTCCTCATGAAAAATCACATCTCTAGAAGTGATTATTTTATGTAAAGAAGGTACATATATCTTGTATCCCTTCTGCAAATGTGGATAACCAACTAGAATTCCTTCAAATGAACGTGGATCAAGTTTATCTATGCTAGGGCTATTATCTAAAGCATACACCCTGCAACCAAAGTTTCTCAGGATTGATAGATCAGGTTTACAACCATATAGAATTTCAAAAGGAGACTTCCATCCAAGCAATGCAGAAGGAAGTAAATTGATTAGATAAGTTGCTGTCAGTAAAGATTCACCCCAAAAGATTTTAGGTAACTTAGACTACAAGAGAAGTGATCTTGCAACCTGAAGGAAATGTCTATGTTTCCTTTCTACAACACCATTTTTTTGTGGTGTGTAGACACATGATCTTTGATGTAAAATACCAAGATCAGTAAAAAGTTCTGAACAAGTGTGATTAATGAATTTTGTTTCATTATCAGTTCTAATCATTTTAACTTTACTCTCAAATTGGGTATCAGTCATTTTTAGAAACTGGGAGATCAATGATGGAACCTGAATTTTTTATTGAAAAAGAAGTGTCTAAGTACTACGACTGAAATCATCAACTATTGTTAAGAAATATTGACAATTTGGAAGAGATGGAACTTTACAAGGACCCCATACATCCAAATGTAATAGCTCAAAACACTGCTTAGATTGAATAGAACTGAGTGCAAAAGGTAATCTAGTCTACTTAGATAAAGGACAAATACTACATTGTTCTAGAGTATCTTTACACAATGATACGGAAGAGAAAACTATAATGTCTGCTTTAATTAATTGCTGCATTACAAGAAAAGATGGATGACCTAGCCTTGAATGCAACAAAGTTAGAGAAATAACAATGGTACAGGCACTATGAGGAAACTGAAAATCTTGCAACTTGGATGTAGTGGCTCTAATGTGAAGTAAATAAGAAGCATAAAGTTCCTGAGACTGTTGGATTGCTTGTGAAGTGAAGGAGGTTTTATCAAGGATGTATAACTCCTTGACTACTCTACTCCTTGACTACTCTACCAGCTGCAAGGACCCTTCATGTACTAAGGTCCTATAGTAAACAGAAATCAGCAAAGAACTTGAAGAAGAAGGATGTAGTTTTAGTAAGTCTTCTTACTGAAAGGTTGTATTTGAACAGGATCATGCATACAAGAGGTTAAGGTAACTAATTCTGAAATTGTAACATCACCAAAATGAGTGACATGCATAATGCCACCATCAGGAAGCATAATTGGAGTAATGATTTTGGATAAGATGATATTATGCATAATGGAAAGACTATTGCACATGTGACCTGTTTCACCCGTATATGTAACCCAAGCTTTAGGACTTATGTAATCAAAAGCAAAAGAACAAATCTTAGAGAAAACACTACCTGAAACATCATGGAAATGAGCCATATTCACCTTGTGATTATCAACAGGTTCTGCAACATTCTTCCCTTTTGCAATTCTATCCAACTCTTGTTGTATTGTTGTGATCATAGATTGAAGCTGATCTAAAATAGAAGCAGATGCATCCAGAGGTGTATTCACCATGTGAGCAGAACTAAACTTGCTAGTTGAACCCTGTAAAGTCTTTGATGGCCACCACTCAGGGTACCCTTTCATCTTAAAACATTCCTCTTTTAAATGACATGGTCTCTGACAAAAGCTGCATTTCTTGTTTACCTTTTCTGCTACTGTAATCTTTAATTTTGGACACTCAGATTTTTTATGACCACTGACCTTACAGTAATTACAAAACAAACCTCCAATGTTAACCTTGGCCTGCATATTGTTGTTACTATTTCCAGCATTCCTTTTCCACTCAGGTACTTTCACCATCATAGCAATGTTATCATTTGATTCAGCCGCCATGTTCGTACTTACTTGTCTATGCTTTTCTGCCTTAAGCAGCAAATTGTTAACCTTTTCCTCTGATGGCATTGGCTCCATGAACAAAATTCTATTCTTTTCTTGCTCATAAATCTCATTCAGTCCCATCAATAATTCCATAGTTTTGTCCTTAATTGCTCTGACCGACAACAAAGCCCCAACTTCCCCATCAATCACTGGATTTGGACGTAGCTGCTCATACTGGTCCCATAACTGTTTTAACTTTCTATAGTACTGTGAAATTGACATGTTACCTCGCTTAATCAGGGCTATTTCTCGTCTTAATTCAAACAATAGAGGAACAGTGGTGGTTCCATATCTCTGCTCTAGTTGTCTCGAAAGAGTTCGTGCATCATGAACAAACATAAACATATTTCTAATCTCAGGTATCATGTAGCTTTTAATCTAAGAACAAACCATACTATTAGCTCTATTCCATTTGATACACTTTAATGATCCTTCTGGTGGTTTAGGAAAAGTACCAGTGACAAAGCCAACCTTCATTTTTGCCTCTAAAGCTGGAATCATTGCATTTTTCCACACAAGATACTTTCTTTCATTCAAGAGCACTGCAACAAGAGCGATACCTGGATTTTCAGAACCATGGAAGTGTAGCTGCTCTTCTATTAATTCATCCAGTTCTCTTCGTGTTGCTTCATCCATGATTGGCCTTCTGAGTAGTGCTTCTTCCATGACTTGTTGAGTATGATAAAAAGAACTGACCTTTTAATCTTCAAACTAATCTAAAAAAATTTTAATCTTTCAAACCAACAGATAAGATTTGCAGCGGAATACAGACCAGGCTCAAACCTGCTCTGATACCATCTTAAATTAACAGATTAAACAAAGAAGAATAGATCATATGAATTGATGAACATGACAGCATAAGGATGAAACTAAAATCTGATCTATTTCACTTAAAAAAAAAAAAAAAAGAAAAGAGAATGATGTTTCCCTTTAATACAAGAAGTCTTACCAAATAATCTACCATAATTACAACATCAGGACCTAATGAAACTTCCAGGAAAGAGCTTAAACTACAGGACAAAATTTTAACTTTAACAGCTCGTCATTAGGCCATAATCAAGTGCACATGATCATCTGTGTACTCCTTGTGATCCATCAAGCGACTCGGGTTCGATTCTTGCTGCTGAAGTTTTCTGAGGAACTATATTTGTATAATTCTTCATATATACTGAAAAGGAACGTTGAATATACTCTACATTAGTTTGGAAGCTACAAATCATTTCAATTATCATTTCATTGTGAAAAATTCGAGTGCAACCATCTTTTTTTCTTTTTTGAGTTTGAAAAAGGTAATTGTGACTTGTTTTCATCCGAACATTAAATTTAGTCGTAATTTGTATCATATAATAAGGCCGATGCGAGATCTCAACAAGGATATATATGAGCAGAGATAATATCATTTCATGTACTAGTTTTTTGATTGAATCTTCTACATAAAGTTGCACCTTTATTACTTGAGTTTGGAAAAGATAATGGCGACTTTTAGTATCGGTTTTTTCAGTTACCGAACATGATATATATGTCCTCCCTATGGTACACACATGTACAAAATCAGACCATTTAATTAAATAGTTTTAGTTTGACAAAATAGACAACATTTTGAAAGAAACGAAGACACGCTAGTTGTTATTATTTTATTTCTTTGGAAATATGAAAAAATTCATTAATTTACGGTGTTGAATGTCATTAATCCGTCCTTTCGTCTTCGAAATTTAGAGGCAAACGAGCCTCTTTGGAGGTCAAAACTCAAAAGTTCAACGACTTGTGGATTTGTGATGTCAGACAGCAAATAAAGAATTTTCATCCATGCTTTGCAGATTTAATTGTGTAATCATGAAAAAAAAAAACTCCAAATTGTCTGCTACTCCCGCCATTTCAAAATTTAAGTCACTTTAGACTTTGCACGTAAACTATAAAGACAATCATCCAATAATTAATTAACGTATTAAATATCTATTTTACCCGTTATTAATTACATTGAAACTATAAATAATATTAAATGAAAATATATAGGAATTATTTATTGAAAATAAAGTTAAAAAAATATTCATTAATTTGCCTAGAATTTGTAAAATGACTTATATTTTGAAAAATCTCTCCAAATCTAAAACGATCTACAAATTGAAATTGAGGGAGTGCTTCACTTATGACGTACCAATATGGCATGATGAATCTTTTCTCTATTCATCGACAGACCTGTATTTCTCATAACCATATGTGGTATATAGATGTGCAACAAAGAATGTAGTCTGCCTCTAGGGGAGAATCCCAAAATAGATTTGCAATCTAATTTTCGAAAAAAAAACGAAAGAAAATTGTTTCCATATGTGATTATAATAAAGAACATATTTATACGAGGATATGTAAAATAAATTTAATTGATTTCATTTAGCTGAAATTAAAGGAGTTGAACACTAAGAGGACAACGTAAAAAAAATTGGCCTCATGTAGCAAGAAATAAAATTTAAGCATTGACAAGACACGGTAAAGACTAAAGACTAAAGAACCAAGAATGTAATTTACATTTACTTTTCCTTATAGTTTGACCGAAGCCATCAAATGCACACACTGTTTTTTCTTTTAAGAAAAAAAATAATACTCCCTCGTCCCAAAATTATTTTTTCACCTTAAGATGGTATTCTTAGTGCAAATTACATTAAGGGAAATTAAAATAAAAGTATATATTGGACAATAATTTTAAAACAAATGGAGTAATAAGCTAATAATCAAGACGATAAATGCCGCACAATCAAATTAACCCATTTTTATGAGGATGGAGGATCAAAAATAGAATTTTGAAGATTAAGAACCAACATACAATTACAGCCATAACTCCATTAGTTCCTAATTGATTGTGCAGTCTAAATTTTTACTTTAAAAACAATTTGTACTTTAAATAAAAATTCAAACAGGACAATTATTTCGAAATAAAAATAATGCTAACAATTTTTGCCAATTGCAAAATCTACTTGACAAAGGAATTGATGTCCACCATTGCATATTATATTACGCCATAAAATTATGCTCAAAGCAAACACATCCTCTCTTCCTTGGCCATGCAAACCAAACACCCATCATTGTATTGATATCATTACTACTTATTGGTTTGGAGCGTGACATATCCACATCAAACTCAATTCTTTTCATCACAGGGAAAAAAAAAAGAAAAAAAAGAACAACTATAATGTCATATGCAACAACAATTAAACATAGCTAATCAATTTGCAGAGAAAGATGTTACAAAAGATGAATCAGTCAGGTTAGATGAATGCATACATCAATTAATTAGTCAGCTTTTGAAATGTTGGTTTTTTCCATTCTAAAAAAAAAAGACAAATTCTAAATTAAGTTTCAAAATGATATGACACAAAAAGAATGGTTTTGTTTGTTCATGGAAAAACTGAAATAAACAAATTCATCGATGAGGTCTATGAGGAGGAGGTGGTATGAACTCGTGCTCAATTACTGGCACTGTTCGAGTTGTAGATGCAGTTGGAGCTCTGATATGCCCAACCATGGACACTTGCAGAGCTTCCTCTTCATAAGCTCTTCTTTCCAGTTCTTCCATTCTTGCTTTCTTCTTCACTTTCACAAACAATGCTATCAACAGCAATGTCAAAAGGAAAGCTCCAAGTGCAGCTCCAATGGAACTCCCTATAGCTATCTTCCATTTACTTGCCTTCTTTTTAAAAGGGATCAATGGAGATTCAACCACCAACCCAAAATGCCCCTGTTTTGATGTAACACAAACGTTTGGTGATTGTTGATTGGACAGTGTCACCTTTCCGTCGTGTTCGAACCGGGCGCATAATGGGATGATCCCTGAACTGGGATTTGAAATTGAAGTGTTGGTGAAATCAATTTTGATCAGATCATCTCTCCCAGATGATTGAATAGATACCTCAAACGGACTACTGAAATTGATGTTGTCCCCTGCATTGTAAGCCAGAAGGCCTAAAACAGGGGAAATCAGCTGATAACCCGATAATTCGTAGTTGTCGTAGTAAATGGATGACCAATTGGATCCAAGATTTTGTGCAACAATCAACACTCTTTCTATGCATGGATTGATGGTTAGACCTGAGCTCAATTGGAATTGCTGGAGTCTTGCGCCGTACCTTCGAAGGCTGCCACACCTGAATCTAATTGTATCTACCTTGATACCGGAGAGATTTGCTGGTAAGCTTACAGTGTGTAATTTGCCTGTACCAAAGGATTTATCGTAAGTTTGGAAGGTGTAATCCCTGATGACAAGATCAAGAAGACGGGCAGATTTTATTCCTTGAGTTTCAATCTGCAAAGCTGTTGAAGATGCAGGTGCTAGTAAAAGAAAGAACATGACAATTACAGAACAATAAGAAAAGCCCATATGAAGAAGTTGGAGATGGAACTTTTCTATCATAACTGATCATATGAAGTTTTGTACCATATGAAGAAGTTTTGAGTTCTGCATGAAACAGAAAGAGTCTTTGTTGGTTAATTTATGTGGAAGTACTGATCGATGAAGCTGTGGGATTGCTGGGGGGAAAGCTTTTTTGATATAGAAAGGTCCTCTTTTCTTTTGTGTGTGATGAAAAGGTGATGGTGAAAGTGAAAAGAAGGAAAGGAAACATATTCTATCCTTTTATCTATTGTCAGTTGTTGAGAAAAGAAGCTTCATGACATGAGTTTTTTCATTTGGACAAATTGAAGAAGGAGAAAGAAGTGATTGACTGACTGTAACTTCATGTTTTCTGTCTTCACAACAAGAAGTAAAATCCAAGGTGGTTGGTAGAAGATCAAATTGGACTATTGGAGTACCGTTTGGTCATTTTATCTACATTTAATCTTTACATTACTGCAGAAAGTATAAGGGAAAAAAAAAAATGAACCAAAAGGATGTTTAATGTTTTTTGGTAAGATACTTGGATCTAATGCATCTTTCTTTTTTGGTAATGCTAACTTGCCGTTTAATGTAAAAATGTGGATGAGGTAAAGGGGAGACTTAGGGGTGTTTGTTTATTGTTTTAGACTTTTGGCCTAGAGTCAGGTGGGTATAGTTGGGGGAAATGATTTGGATTTGGGAGCATGGTTGGAATGATGACTTTTTAAGTCAAAAGTTGATAAAAAGGAATACTTGGCGTGCTTAAGGAATAAGAATGAAGGCAAGTCTCTTATTGATTGATGGATGGATGGATCTGAATGGGGGGAACTCAATCCGAATTCCAAATCAAAAACAAAAAAAAAAATTCTTATTGTTGTTTCTTGATAACATGTCCCCCACTCCAACCAACCTGTGGGTTCCTGTTTTGCAGCATGCATTTCAGACTTTAGAATTCTTTTCATTCTTTAAAATTGGCCTGCAAATGGCTCTCTGTCGACCCTCTCTTTTGGTTCAAATTGTTGCAAAAACATGTATCACGAAATCATACCGGCGCTAATGTATCGCAAAATCAAAGAAAATCCTTGAGTTGGTAGTTTCAAAACCGTTATATATTTACTCTAACATTATGATATGTTACTTTCCCACTGTAGTTGTGTCATCAATGATTCAAGTTTATGTCGCCTTTTTCATAGCCAAATGAAAAAAAAAAAAAATGTACTTCTTTTGTCCCAAAATTATTGTCCAATTTGAATTTTTATTTATAGTATAAAACGAACAAAAAGTGAAAACTCAAACTGGATAATAATTTTCGGACAAAGGGAGTAAAAGCTTCCAAGTTTAATAAGTGTTTCCGATCCCTAGTTGAGAGTTCCAAATTTTGAACTTTGGGTGAAAGAAGAGATTTGTGTTAGGTTGAGACATAAGAGATATGACATGTATAAACTACTTATTATGACATTTAAACTGAACGTTTGGTGATCTCATAATATACTCTCTCTGGTCTTTCTTAAAAAGCATTTTAATTTTGTTTTAGGTTTCTCCTAAGATGTCTTTTTAATCGAAATAAAAACTTTAAAAATATTACATAATAAATAGAAGAATACGACGAACATGAAAATATATTTTTAAGATTTTTTTTCAATTAAAAAATCATCTTAAGTGAACCATAGGACGAAATCAGAATGCCTTATAATAAGGACAGGAAGGAGTAGTATTGTTTTCTTTTATAATGGAAGGTGTTGATAACTCACTTTTAGAGCTGTAGTAGTGCCAAGCTTTTTTAATTTGAAGTTTGATCCTACTCATTCCAAACAGCGCATTTTCTTAGTTTTCCAATATGACTTTCTTTTTCTATATAAATTTTTCCATTTATCTTCTAGTAATGTGTTTTATAACTAAGTGACACAATAAACCAGTATATATGATCTCTAACTAAATGAGTCATTCTTGCTTTTAAAAAAAAAAAGCCATTCTTAACTTTCTTTAGGGATAATTATTGAACTTGTTCGCGCCCTTTTTTTTTGTTTTTGTTTTTGTTTTTTTTTTTTTTTTTTTTTGGTTACAATGAATGAGGCCCAAAGCCTATTATGGTCACTCTTTAGGGAGTCTATAACTCCACATTGGCAGAGCAACAATTGGGGGACAGCGTAGTTTTTTATTACTAATTATCAAGTATATTCTCACTTATTAAAGGAGGATGATAAACCTATAATGCGATAAAGGTCCATTGGTGTGTTATGAAACGAAAACCAAAAATGTTGTCTCCTTATTTCTGCTATGGCCATAAGGATTCACATCTCTTTATGTTCTGAAAGGAAAAATAGGAAATATTGTATTGCTACAAAGCTTTAAAGTTAAACCCCTTTTTTCTTCTATATGAAGAAAATTAATTCAGTTAATCCTTATTCCTGTTCTGGGTCCATTGGTATGTTTCTTTTTATTTATTGGAACACAACAAAAAACAGTTCTTTGATGGCTTAGATTCTAGCTAGAATCTACAGTTTTTTTTAGTTAAGTTATATCTTTGGTCTCCTGTAGAGGCAAGCAACAAAATCTGCATATATATGTATTTTATGTATTAAGTTCATGTCCTATTTGACTTCCATTAAATGAAATCAAATGCTCTGTGATAACCCATTATAATAATTTTAAAAAATAATTACTGAGAAATATCACGGAAATTTTCGCTTTCTTTACCAATAATCATATTCAAATTTAGGGATTGCATTGCAGGATAGAATTGGAGAAAAAAAAAACAGAACTCTACTAAGAACACATGGTGGTTGATAAAGTATTATTAATCCAACCTTCTTAATTTATTTACAGTTATTTGCTTAGGCTCGCTTTCAGATTAAGACTTTGCCTCAAGAAGAATTTGTACATGCGCAAAAAGATGCTATATATTTTGGCCACAAGAAACATTTTACAATTTCAGGGAAATCAGAAAACACAACCAAAAAAAACAAAAAAGAAGGAGAAGAAGAAGAAGAAGGACAAACAAAGACAAAAGCCAAAAGTTTCTCAATAGATTGATCCCTTTGATGAGGCATAACAGCAATGCAAAAAAGGGTTGTGTCATTCCTACTTTTATCAATGGAAATTGACGGTGCCCTGATAAGTCATTCCTGGTTGCCAATTGGAAGGAGCAACATTGTACACAATAATAGTCTGCTTTGAAGTGTAGGAAGTAAGCTTGAAGGAAAGTGCCTGCCCTGATAGTGTTGAAAATGCCTGGTATGAAGCTCCCCAGTTATGGCTCATGCTGATCCAACCTGTCCTTGTTCCCTTCACCCACACGCTCGAAATGTCGCCGCCTCCACCGACATTCATCACGTAAACCAGCAACCAGTATCCGTTTCCTTGGAAGGTGAATCGGATCCCGCCTCTACTTGGACATGGTACCCTTAAAAAAAAAAAAACAAGCAAAAGACATTTATTTATTTTTTTGAAGGACTAATAAATGAACAACATAAGTCTAATGTAACGAGATCTGTGAAACAGTTTCCGCTCATTGCCAATTGATTTTGAGGTGATCAGATATTCTGATTAGCAGACTGACCTGCGATACATGACGGGGACAATACCGGCTTTCCATTGAGCAATTTTCATGAATGCAGGTTTGGCCATGTCGAAATGTGTCCGGGGCGGGTTGCACCACCCTCCATTGTTGGAGTCTTGGCCCCAGTTTGGAGGGCAAAGGTTTGTGGCGGTTATAGTGGTGATGGTCTTGAAGCAATATGGCGACTGAGTGCAGCGGATTTGGAAGCATTGGCCGCAGGCATATCCATTCTGAAATAGTACTGAGCTCAAGGCTGCCGTATCTGTGCCATACCCACTTGTGAATACATTTCCATACCCACAAGCTCCTCCTGCATGCCAAAACACACAATGACTTTATAAAACATTCCTCCTCAGACAAGATAATAGTTTGTTAATTGTGTACCTAAGTTAGGAATTTATGACAAAGCAGGATTAAAAGTTTTACGAAATTTATACTTCATTTTTGTATGGCTCGCAGGTAGGAATTAGACCTTGGCCACAACATAACGGTTTTCTATTCCCGGAATGGAACTATTTCTTCTGAGCTCCTTTAATTGCAATAACAAAAGAAAAATAAAAAAGTTGATAGAAAAATTTGTGTAAATGAAATTGTTATATGCAGTGAATTACCTAAATGGTCCTCTTAAACTTTATCTGATTGTGATCATCATTTTTCAAAATAATTCAAATTTAGTACTTCATTGATGTTAACTTTCCGTTCAAATCAATGATGCTGTGGATGTTTTAGTACCATATCGTTAATGTAGCTTATGTTCATCCACAAAATGAGCTAGCAGAAGATGAAACGAGATAATGAATGGTGTAGCATAAATAAAAATATTAGTATATAACTATACTTCATCGATACTATTCCTTTGGATTCAAAACGCACCATTGGTGGCAGATGCCGACTCATCTCCGTAGAATGTGGCATGAGCGAGTTGCCATGCCGTTGGCCGGAAAACAGGCGCATAATAGCCGGCGGCTAATGTCGTTGTACTGAATGATATCTGTAGCAATGCAGCGCATAACATGATCGAACAAAGATACTGAAGGAGAGAAGCCATTGTTGTTACGATGTTACTTTTCTTTTTTCCCTTATTCCCTCCTCCTTTGTGCTAGAAGCACTACTTCTATGAGAAATTTCTGCGTCAAAAATTTTGATGCCGATTTTGAATGATGATGACAACCCTTTATATAGTTAATCGGTTCCATCCCCATGAGAAATGGAAATACAAAAGTAGTGGCTTCATTCGTGATCATCACTAACGTTTTACCTCTTAAATTAAGTCAACCGATCAAATGGTTTTTAAATGACAAAAAGAATACGATCACGGATGATTTGTAGGACTTCATGTGTTCAAGTTATTTTTAAGAAACGTGCGAGCAGGTTAGATGCGCCGCCTCGCCTAAATCTTCGTTTTTCTGGTTACATTGAATATATGACATTGGAATATATATGGTCGCATTATTGTGCATTATCTACCCCTTCCTCCACCGTCTCGTAAAAATAGATAACTTTTTTTTTCCTGAAATATACGGTACTTATAAACTACTCCCTCAATTTTAAAAAATAAGTCATTTTAGACTTTGCACATAAATTAAGGAGACAATCATTCAATAATTAATTTGTGTATCAAATATATGTTTTACCTCTCATTAATTTAAGGCAAAGTTAGAAAATTAGTCATTAATTTACCTTAAAATCTTAAAACAACTTCTATGTTGAAAAAATTCTCCAAGACTAAAACGTCGTATATTTTGAAAGAATTTCATTGTGAAAGTTGTGTTCTTGTTTTTTTTTCGCCTTTAATTCCCCTCCCTGGTGATGCATAGAAGATAGAAGAACTTTTTGTGGATTACGTTATATTCAAGCTGGCAATTGGGCGGGTAGGCGGGTATTGAGCGAGTATTTCACGGGTGAGAGTTTATTGGGTATGGGATGTTAACTACCCATTTATTTTACACACAGTTGGGTATGGGTAAAAATTAGAAAATGGATAGCCCAGTACCCATTGGGATCCCATGAATTACAATTATTGGGATCCCAAAGGGATTTTTTCCATTTTCATTTTTATCTTTCTTAGTTCTACAATAATTTTTTTTCATTCTCTTTGTTATCATTTATTCCCCTTTCAGTTTGTATTTTTAAGTCATCTACTTTCTGTCTTTCTTTCTTTTCTTTTGATTAATTAGAATAATTTGACCTCTGTGACTAATTATTAACAACTAGATAAGTATGAAAAAAATATATTTAAAATCAGTTAATTAGCTAAGGTTGAAATGACATATCACTTAATTTTTATATGATGAGACCAGAGTTGTATAATCGACTTATTAAAACAACTAATTAATTATGATAAAAGTTGATGAGATAAAATTGATTTTTTTTTGCATATATTTGTGTTGATAATCAATGATTATTCACATTATTTTTTATTTTTTTTTTATTTTTTGGTTTTCGGAGTAAAATGATTCTATATATATAATTAATAATTTAAAGGAAACAGCTCATAATAAGTTATTTTCCAGTAGATATAACTAATGAAAAAACTATATACTACCTAGTTATTTTCAAAATAGTCTGTGAAGTTCTCCAAATGTTTCTTAATTCTTGGGGAAAAAACCCTAACCACACAATCAAAGAGGGAATTTCAAATAACCATACTTAAATTTGAGTAGGATTTTCTCATTACAATGACTCAATCTTGTTCTCATAGGCAAGGGTAGGATTTATTGGCAGAGCCATCAACTTTTTAGCTATTACTATTCTAACGTAGTTTTCAAAAGAATAAATGAAGGTGTTAACATAAAATAGTTGCCCATGAAAAGAAAAGAAAGAAAGAAAATATGTATTAATATGAATTTAAACAATTTCTTATATTCGAAATGCAATAAAACAACTTTTGTTCCTAAAAACAAAAAACGAAAAAAAACAAAGAGATTTATGATTTAGTGTTGTCAATGGAGTCTGAATTTTAGTCCTGTTGGGTCCCAAAAGAGACCCAATAACCCGCCCGTTTATATTCCGCCCAAATTCACCACTACCTACTTAGTGTCCTATTTATAAATATGTAATTTAGTTTTCCTTAGTATCGAGTTTAAAGTTGGATTTTGAGCCTAATGCATTAAGCTTCTATCAATCAAAATTCTGTTCAAACAAGATTGATTTTAATAAGACATTAAAGGCAAAAAATTAAATTCTTCGAAACCAGCTAGCCCAATCCCCTATGGTTTAATTAGAGGATATACACTGATTCAAGATTTCAAATACGTGATTAGGAAGAAAATGCGGTTTTGATGCTTAATTTTGATTTCTCATATTTAAATGCAGACATTTTGCCTCTTAGTATGCAGAATGAAGAAATACGCGACTAGATTCTTTTAGAGGTTAACCAACCATTCCTAATTTCCATTCTTCTTTTTGTTAGTTGTTCCAGTAGTACAATAACTCAATATAAATTTCACTGATGGAGACATGTCATATATGTATTATAAGTTATAACCTTGTAGTCGTGTCCATTCATTAAGGAATTTCAAAGATGTTGACAAAATTTAATAGTCCCCAGGAAAATGATCCAACACCAAAATTTCCTTGTAAATTACTGTATTTGATTTGTTTCAAAATAAAAGTGATATTTTGCATTTTATTCTCTTATGAACACTATATTTGAAATTTTCGCTTTAACTAATTTGGCGTCATGTTTAATGAACTAAACCAGTTCAAAAGATGAAATCTTACTTCGAAATGAAAAAAAATACATGACAACCACACAAAAAAAAAAAAAAAAAAAAACAGTGCGATGAAACGTCATATAGGTCTTAAGTTGAACTGCAGAACAAATGAGACTAAAATGCAGGATTTTCACATCTATAATACTATTCCTTCCGTCCCATAATTATTGTCCACTTTGCCCAAAAAATTTTGTCCCAAAATTATTGTCCAATTTGACTTTTTATGGATCAAGTTACACATTTATCCTTAGTAAAAAACATTATCCATAAAATCTTAGTGGTTAAACAATTACTTATGTAGGGGTATATCCGGTTGTTTAAGGTAAAATATAGTTAAGTTTGACCAAAAATAAAATCTTTCATTTTAGTAAAACTGGACAATAATTATGGGACAGAGGGAGTATAATTTAATCATGTTAAACATTTGACCACTATGGGAAACCACAAAGGGGATGACAATAACATACATTTACAATAGCGGTCTTTTCTATTGAAAATTTTTGTTGCTGAGTATTAAATTCTCTCTCGATCACAATGCATGTCTACACTTATACTAACAAGGTAGGGAGGGTTACACACAAAATATACATTCAATAATTACGGTTGCATCCAATCTGAACTTCCAAAGTTTGACAATGGGCATGACACATCATCTTTTCTTCTCGGAACCCGGCGACCGTGATTGTAAAAATGCAAGTTCTGAAGGAGAAAGCCGAAGTTGTAAAATATCTGTGATGTTAGGAAGTCATTGGCATGATCTCCAATGTGAAAATGCAGATTGATTTTCTTCAGTGTTTTAAAGACTGTAATTACCTCATCTCACGTTCTACTGAATTCAGGCTTCAGGCAATGTAATCAAACGTGTCTTTGAATCATACACCAATTCTGTCTCACAACTACATTTTTGCAAACAATTGTAAGCAGTAAGAAGTAAGATGGTTTGCTAAGCATAGTGCTGTTGCAACAAATTAAAAGAGAGGTATAGCTGACTTACTTTGAGCATTTCACATTGTTGGTTGCGCCACCACTAGATATTGACAGAATAGTTCCGAAAAAGGATGTATTCTCTGTGCCACAGTTGGGACACTGACCCTGAAACACAAATGTAATTAGTACACAACAGTTATGACATGATTCTCCCAAACTAATGCTATATATATGCTCAGATCTTACCTTTAGGATCACAAAGTCGCTAATGACTGCCTTTGTAAGTGAATTGGACAGGTACAATATGACTGGTATAGCAGCAAACCATGTGAAAATGAAACTGAATGGTTCTGGAAGCTGCAAAATTGAGAGGTTTGTTGATCAGCTGCTTGTTTGGGTGCTCGAAGGAAAACTAAGAACTATTTGAAAACATGTTTTAGAGATCTGTTCTAAATGGAGTTTTTGTCTTGAATTGTAGTTTCAACTCTAGGTTGTGAAATAACTTTTTTTAGCAACAACTTGCAGTCCATGAAGTCCAAAGGATCAAATACAAAAGAATTTGAACCATCAAATCCAAACACTTGTCATCTAGAATTAAGTGCAAAAGCAGCCAAGAGTAATTCTAGACAAGTCCACGTTTCCCTAACTTCTGAGCTCAATTCAATTTCCAAAAAGTTGCGGGAAGTGTCATGCTTGCTGACGTAAATGAGAATGTATAACAGGCATTCCTTTGACACATGCATTACTTGGAAAAAGAACAGATAATGAACACTTTGTAAACATATAAAACTCCCAAAACAACCCTGCCAATCCAAAATATGCAGTAGGAAAAATCCTCTTACCTCCATTACATAGGTGATTTCAAAACCAGTTAAATCATCAAGGAAGAAGAATCTGCAATAATACAAATAAACTTTCAGAGGTAGTTTAGTCAAATCCAGTGGGGGTAAAAACAAATCCAAATGATGAACATTTAGCTCAAAAGTCACGTATCCCAATTACTAAGCTCATCAGAATTTTAACAGTGAAGACACTACATAACCATAATGTGAAGTTATTCCCGTAAAAGTTTCACATATGCCTTATTAGTTGAATAAAACAGAGATACTCACAGTCCCAATGCGACAACAGCTGCAGGTACGTTCAAGAGAAACATCTTGAGATAATCAACTGAGAGATCACTGTAGACCTGAATAGAAAAGAGGCTACATTAATAGCTAGCAAGGCTAAAGTGCTAGAAGACATTATTGAATTTCTTCATTGTCTAACTCATGAAAATCGATAGAATAGAGAGTCCATTATGATCAAGGGAACAAATTGAATAAGCAACAAAATTAATTAGAGAAACCGATTTCAAGTATCAAATACATACTACTTCCTCTTTCCCAAAATGATTGTACAGTTTGGATTTTCACTTTTAATACAATTAGAACTAAAAATGAAAATCCAAACTAGACATTTGGGACGGAGGGAGTACATAACAGGGTCACTTGAGAGTTGGGACATCAAAGTACTGCAATGTTAATCACTTATATTTTGCCTTTGTAATTGATGTCCATCTTTCCTTTTATGGTGGAAAGGTTTCCTGGGATACCAATAACAATATGAGGCCATAGATCATTTCTAATCAACTGTCATCATAAACTTAGATTGCTAGACAGTGTTAAGCAAATAAGCTCATGAAGTAATTAACCTATCCACCAAAATTATCATTAATTTTGACTAGAAAAAAAACAAAATACAGACAGCATGAGTCACCGAGATTATATTAGAATCAATGAACAATATTGAATCACAGGATCAATCTAACTATAAAATCATTGTGCAGCCATTCTCTTTGATGAAATGGACAATGAAGCAAGTTAACATAGTAGATCATGGAGGAATGAAGCACATACCTTTCTACTACGAAGACTACAACGTGGACCCTCAGCAACGATCTCACTCCCATCCATCTAGAAATAACAAAACTAGCATTGTGACAACATGTAGTAATTGAAAGAATGAAATAGAACAATTGGTACACAGAATAGCATATGCATTGACTATTGCACTGGAAAACGTTAAGATAAAGGAGTAAGCGAAAACAAACTGCACTGTCTGAAAAAAATTCAGCCACAATACAGAGTGAGCTGTAAGCTGAAAAATAGCAATAGGACTTTCTATATCTTCACAAAGATCTCTGAACTCCATCCAGCGAAAAAAGTTGGCTATGCAAGTTTCTGTAATCCATATATATTATAATTTCATATTTATGCAAGGTAGATTATGCCTACGCACCTTAAGTTTCATTTTCAGCTCATCATATTCTTTATCTGTCATAATTGGCTTTCCATTTACATAAGCCATTGAAGCTTCCAGAAACCTCTGTTCATCAGAACCTGCATCGAAACAATTACTCACAGACTGCACAAGCTTAGAATGTTTGGACAAGATTTTACAGAAGAAGATGGTAGCATACTGAGCATGACAACGCTGCTTCCCTCCCACATTAGTTCTTCCTTTAGGTTATCAAATTCCTCATTTGACATGATGGCCTTCCCTTCATAATAGAAAGCCTGCATTATAAATGATTTAAAGAGAAATATTCAACTTTGGAGAAATAAAGCAAAAGATATACACAGTAAACTGAACTTCCTTAATAATCAAGTCGGCAAAGAAAGTAATTTGCAAGTAATGAAGCAATTTTCAGAAGAAGGCTATCATCAAACATAATTTGCAGCACGGGGAAAGAAAAAAGAAGAAAGAAAAGAGGTCTTCTGTACTTGAAGCGCTTGGAGAAATTCTTGTTCCATCTCACCCAGAGACTTCTTTTGTTTCTGATCTATGCTACAATATTGCAAAATATTACCATCAACTACTTCTTCTTGGACAGGCCCTGAAAGGAAACCCAAGGTAAGAATGCAAAATTTGACATAAACTATAAGCTCAAACACAGAAAAGTACTAAACAACTTAGGAGGACAAAGCCATCTCATGAGTAAAGATATGATTTATCTAACATCTAATGATTTCCACTTAAGCTATCCAGTATTATTTAAGCTCCGGAACCTCTTCCAGTGTTAAAAGTTCGAATCTTTAAAGTTTCAGTAGCTTTCACGAAAACCAGGTTATCTAATCAAAACCACCACTAAACTATGGGACGATTAAATGAAAAATAATAAAAAGGCCGAAAATTGATTGATTGATCCTTGAATTAAGTTGATCCCAAATCAAGATACAATAGCGGAAGAACCCATATCATATCAGTGATGGGCAAGGATTCAAAACACACCTGGCTGATCAGTGGTGGCCATAGGGGGCAGAACCAGCAATCTCCGACGACCCAATGAGTTTTCCCCATTAAGATTAAAGGGATGAACCCTTGAAGCAGAGGATGAAGAAGGGGAATTAGACTGCAGAAAAGGAGAAGCAGCAGCGGATATGAAAGGTTTCCTGAAAGAAGCAGAGTAAAAACGAGGAATTGTTACAGTAAAACCAAGTCTGGTGGCCATTTTTTATGCGGGAAATTGCAGCAGAAGCGCCGGAGTGAGGAAAGGCAAGATTTTGGAAATGTGAGCATACTGGAATAAATTTTTGGCCGTGAAGGAGGGATCAAAGAACAAAGCTTTTTTTTTTGAGGATAAGGTAAATGAAGATGTGTGGAGGGAAATGCAGAGGATCTTTGTCCATATTTGAAACAAAATCGTGATTTTTTTATTTTTCGATGATTTTTAAGGTTATAAAAAATTAAAAATCAGTTGCTCCAATGTCGTGTATTGCAAAATCTGCCAAGTCAGCTTCGAGTTTTCCCTGCGAGAATCGACTGGGATTCTCCCTATATGTATTTGCTGCTGACACCTGGATGATGATTGGTAATTGCCTATTTGCCTTTGCCTTCTTCTATCAGTTCGTCACGTTTCTTTTAACTTCTTTGTTTCCATAGTTTTTGAGGTGGTTTTTCCTCCTCCTTTTTCTGCAAAGAAAGTGAAAAAAAGTTTTCAGATTCAAAATTTTTTATAATGTTCGGATTTTATACTAATGTGATTATTATATTATACATAGCTTAAATAATAATACAAGTATTAGCTATTATGATAGATAATGTCGTATGTTGAGTTGAGATATATACACACATCCTCAACCTTAGACGAAAACCTGAAAATGTCTTTTTAGATGGCGGGTTATATGACGAAAACATAATTCGCAATTTAGACCCATCAAGACGTGTTAAGTTCATCTCGTAAATAATTTAACATGTAGTAATATAATAACGGTGTGAAAATTTCTAACCTTTGACCAACAAGCACAAAAATATAAACTGAGTAGTAAGTGGTTAAGTGTAGTTACTCTATCCGCAGTTCCTCTACTATGATTTTGGAAGTCCAATGTTGGCTTTATGCTACCTCTCCTACCCCTAAAATTTGGTTAGTCTGCCTCTAACACGTGAATGGCGGTTACTATTTTCCTCCAAATGTTGATACTTGTCAATCTAACAATCCCAAGTTATGTATAAAGAAAAGAGTAATTATCGTGTTCTTTTTACATTTTTAACTTACTTATTAAGACCATTTGAAAGGCTAGAAAGCACCGAACCTCGTGTATCCACCCTCCAGTCAATCAAACAGGTTGGCGTTTGGTGGTTGTGCTCACTGAGATGTTGCATTTGGATGTTAAGTATCTGTTGCATAAATCGGTTGAGAAAACATTCATTATATAAACCCAAATCTTGTTTCAAGCCTACTCAAATCTTGATTCAGTATTCTACATCCTTTAAAAAACAAAGGAGAATCAAAATTTCATCTTGAAGTAGACACAAATTAATATGGCTGCAGCTGTGGCAAGCAGAGTTGAAAGCCTAGCTAGCAGTGGGATTCAACTGATACCCAAAGAGTATGTGAGGCCTCAAGAAGAGCTGACCTCCATGGGAAATGTGTTTGAGGAAGAGAAAAACCTCCAAGGGCCTCAAGTTCCAACGATTGACCTGAGTCAGATCGAAGCAGAGGACACAGAAGTTCGCGATAAATGCCGGGATGAGCTGAAGAATGCTGCAATGCAGTGGGGAGTTATGCACCTTGTCAACCATGGAATTCCGGTTGAGCTCATTGATCGCGTCAAGGAAGCCGGACAAAAATTCTTTGATCTCCCTGTTGAAGAAAAGGAGAAGTATGCTAATGATCAGGCCTCAGGGAATATTCAGGGATATGGTAGCAAACTAGCCAACACTGCCAGTGGTAGCCTTGAATGGGAGGACTACTTTTTCCACACCATTTTCCCTGAGGACAAAAGGGATATGTCCATTTGGCCTAAAACTCCAGCTGACTACATGTAAGTTCTGTTGGAAATCTTCTTTCTGTTTATAAATTAGTTGAGTGAAACTTAAGACATTGTGTTGTATTTAAGTCCTGCTGTGATGGAATACGCGAAGCGATTGAGGATCCTGGTGAGCAAGATACTATCAGTGCTCTCTCTTGGGTTGGGACTAGAAGAAGGGAGGCTGGAAAAGGAAGTTGGAGGCATGGAAGAACTGATTCTTCAGAAGAAGATCAATTACTATCCCAAATGTCCTCAACCCGAACTAGCATTAGGCGTCGAAGCTCACACTGATGTAAGTGCACTGACTTTCATACTTCATAACATGGTGCCTGGCCTGCAATTGTTCTATGAAGGCAAGTGGATTACTGCTAAATGTGTTCCTGATTCCATAATCATGCACATTGGAGACACTATTGAGATTCTTAGCAATGGTAAGTACAAAAGCATTTTGCACAGAGGCCTTGTGAACAAGGAGAAAGTGCGAATTTCTTGGGCTGTTTTCTGTGAGCCACCAAAGGAAAAGATCATCCTCAAGCCACTGCCGGAAACTGTGTCAGAGACCCGCCCTCCTCGCTATCCTCCTCGCACTTTCGCTCAGCATATTCAGCACAAACTGTTCGGGAAGAAGGAAGAATCTCCTGAAGACTCTAAACTTCAGGAAGTTGACGAATCATCCAGTGATACTACTAAATCCTCTTCATAAGCTTTTCATCTCATTTAGACTAAGATGCTTGATTATTTTTGTTATCTTTTCGAGTTGGTAAGTCTGTTGTGTGTTCATGATTCAATGAAGTTAGGCCTGTCAACTCCAAAGCTTATGTTACCAGCAATGTTCAATAAAAACCTTCACTATTTTTAGTTTTCCATTCTTTGTTACATTACAAAGGTATCCAAAAGATTGATGAAAAAAATTACTCTAAGATTACAAACACAAACACCTCTTTCGTTTTTTTCTTTAATCAAAAGATTCAAAGGACAAGAAGTTCACAGGATGAGATTTTTCACACTATCCAGAACAAGTGCTTTCTATGCTTTTGACTTCCAAGTTACAACTCAATTATTCCGGCAAATACAGTACAAATATACCCTGCATAGATGAGCTCAACCTCAGGAATCATGAAGGGTCTAATTTCAAAATGCACTAAATCCTCAAGAAAATTGATCATAGTTCAGAAACCAAGTCTTCCAGTCTCTTCTGCAGGTTAATTTGATCAGGGCTCTTCCCAGCATCAATCTGAGATTACCAATATGCCATATGAACTAACTGATTTGCACGTTCATTGAAAATGAAAGAGAAAACTAACCAATATCTACAAGAAGCAATGAATTAACTGACATTTACCTCACATTCAATTGCATGAATCTGTCCATCAGTTGCTCTGGTGGAGGTGCAACTTACAACAGCCATCCCTTCGCCATTTAGAACTCGAAATACTTTCGAAAGGAGCAACCCTTTAAGCAAACCAGTCCTAATAATGACTTGCATCCCTGTGATACTGCTTTGGACTGTTACACTAGTCTTCTCATAATTCACTGAGAAGCACGAGCCGTTCGAAGAACAATTAGAACCACAGCCACATTTCATCAGCTTCTGCAACTCATCTCTCTTCTTCATCAGCTCATCCACCTTCCCTCTAAGATGCTTTATATAGTTCACAGCCCCATGCATATCATCAGAAATAGACCTCTTCTCTTTTCTGGTAACCGATAAAGACCTCTTCTGCAACATACAATCAAACACAAGGGATAAAAAACGAACTCTGTGCCCAAAAGAACTAATTATCAAAATTTACATGCATAATTTACCTGGACAAACTCATAAGGGACCAGTGATCTGAGAGAGCTATGAAGAGTAGCCATTTCTTTTCTCCTCTGTCTTTCAACATCCCTGTGAATGATTTTCTTCAAATATTCTTCTGGGCTCTCTTGATCTTGGCAAGATTTTCTTTTTCTGCTAGTTTTTAGCTGAGTTGGTTCTGTTTTAGGCATCTGCAGAGTGAGAAGTCCACTCTGTAATGCCATGTTTTGCTGTTGAGGAAGAACACCAAGGAACTGGAAAAGTTCATCATGATCATGATTTTCAATTGATATCATTTTCTCTTCGGTCAAAATTAAGCACCCAATTGGAAAGCAGGAATGAAAAGAATCCAAAGGCTTTTTTCTTTTCTTTAGCAAATATTGAAGAAAAATTTGTTGTGAGATTTCTGCCCCTCCCAGAAAACCAAAAAAAAAAAAAAAATCAAAATAAAATGCATGAAGGTAGAACACTGTAGCTTTGGAGGCCCATGCCGCCATAAATTCAATAAGGTACGCATATATTTGTTAATAAATTACTGTCACGTAAGAAAATCATTGAGCAAATCAACGAATATATAAAAATAAATAAAGAAATAAAATACGATCTGAATTCTGAAAAATTGTGGAAAATTGAAGATCAATCATTTATTTGATGAGCTGGACAGATCTTCATTTACTTGCTTCATCAACCTAATTCTTCAGCTTTGATTTTTGGTAGACCACTGGTACAGTTATGATAATTGTAGTAAACATTTTTTTGCGGATGAGCAATACCAAATTATTGTTCAAAATTGGACATTAATAATTTCAGAGTCAATTTGGACTTATTATCAAGTCTGAGAATCTCAGTTATCAATAATTAATATTATCATCTACCCTTCGAAAATACCATTGACAAGGATTGTCTTGAGTGCGCTTTACCAAATTAAGATATAAATCGAATGAAGGAGACATATACATAAAAAAAAATAGATAAAATGTCATATTCCATTATACATTTATTGCACACAACCGATCTTATTATCTGAGATTCGAGAGAAGAATCAAATCGTAGCTACCGTAGAGCTTGAGGACCGACGCTTCATCATGTCAATTTTATCTTAGTCTCTTAGAGATGGAAAAAAAAAAAAAAAAAGAAGATCATTTGATCAGCTTGGAAACCTTAGCTCATTATATTGTATTCTTATTATTCTAACATAGTTACTCAGCTTTGAATTTCATATAATCATCCTTCGAGACAAACTACCATGGTTATGAATGGATACTTTAGCAAAAGGTCATTAGTCGATATTTAATTTTTACATCCACCCCCAAAAAAAAAAGAAGAAGGACATGCATTCTCCGTCTCGTTCAAATAACTAAATTTGTTGGACTTAAACGTGAGAAAGTATAAGTTGCGGGTAATGGATGTTGGATCAAAGTTGAATCTAACTAGTTTTTGGACCAAAAGAATATAAATGATAAGATTAAGGAATGGTTGAGGTCAATTTACAAATTTACATCATCTCTCGCGTCACAACCCAAGTATAAACGATGTTTGGTGTCCTCAAGCATAAGGACAACATATTTCCTGTTTTTAAAGTTCCATCATGGTGCTTTGTCAAACTTGATTTTTTTTCCCCTCTTACTAAATCAAACAAGAGACAAAACATAACCTAAAAGCAAGACCACATCAAGTTTGAAGTTTTGAACAAGTTTATAAAAACACACTCATAATTTATTAACAAATAATATTTATTGCTGATGTCCCCATCAGTTTCTTGTACAGCTCATCTGGATCTATGATTTTCTCTCCATTCATCACCTGCATGATGAAAAGCAAAATTGTATTATGAAGTTGACTTTTCCTCCATAACTCCTGGAGCATAAAAACGTTTGTACATTCTCATGCAAACTATACAGTTATGTACCTCTGATTGAATAACGTGAAGCTGTCTTTCATGAACCCTAGTTGAAATGCAGCTTTTGATTGACATCCCTTCCGAAATCAGGATTTTGAGCACTTGTGAAAGAGATAGATCTCCACCTTTGGTTCCGGTGTTCACCGTGATTTCCATCCCAGCAGCCCTGCAGTTCTTGACGGTTATCACCGGTTTTTGATCGGAAACAACCTGATGATCTGGACATGATTTCTCCGGGATGATTCCTTCGGACGATGAGCTTGGAATCTTGTGCATGGATCTCTTGAGTTTCTCTCTTTTGTTCTTCAGCTCTTCTATCTTGTTCTTCATATGCATTATGTATTTTACAGTCCCGTTGATATGATCGGATATTGACCGCTTTCCCTACAAAAGCCATTCACAACAACCAAAAAATTAGGTACGCAAAACTTAATGCTTGTGCAAAGTGGACTATTTTTATACGACAAAAAGGAAGAAAACTGATGAATATAGGAAGACCAAAATGACCCTTTATTATTATGTATTCTCTTGGTTCCGAAATTATTGTTCAGTTTGAGATTTCACTTGTTGTACAATTTTGTACAAGAAATGAAATTCTAAACTAGACAATAATTTGAGACTGAAGGAGTATATGACTTATGAAGAGAAGTAGAGTACTACAATACCTCAAGATGTGCAGAAGGGATAAGAGAACGAAGGTTACGGTAAAGACCAGCCATTTCTTGTCTTCTTTGCCTCTCGACATCTCTGTGTATGATCTTCTTGATGTAGTCTTTAGGGCTTTCCTCAAGATTATCAAATGTGGTTGCTGATTTCCTCTTGCGGGTGTTTTTTGGCTTGGAAATATTACCATTGGTTAGAGTACTATGATCCACATTATTACTGATTAGGAGACTAGGATTATTATTGACAACATCCTCTCCTAATAAGAGTTGTTCGTTTTGTTGCATAAATATAGTTGGTTGTGGTTCGCAAATTGCAGGAGGAGATGAAATAAACTTGAAAAGTTCATCCTGCTCGCCTAACCATTGAGAAAACATGGTTGTAGGCTAAATTAAACACAAATGAATTGAGGGTTTTTTTTTTTTTTTTGGCTTCTTTTAGTTGGGGTGGCAGTTTGGCAGTAGGATCAAATTAAGTCTACATATATATAGCAATATGAGTTGCACAGAAGTCTAATTTCTTGGTTGCGACATTTTTGGGGCCACATTATTGTCAAGTGTGTGTGTGTGTGTGTGTGTGTTTGTTTTGTTTTGGCGGATTTGTAGAGAAATGATTGGAGTATGGCGAAACTTGATTGTACAAATGCAATTTTGATTTGTGGACTGTAGATTTGGAGGGCTCCGCAGATTTTCACGTGTTGGTTTTAGGATTTGGAGCACTGAAATAATTGAGTGATTAGCTAGGAGACAAGATTAGTCGTACTAATCCTAGCTAATCAGCTTGACTCTTTATGTTATGGTAATAATTTCCATTTTCTAACACCTTTTATTGACTATACAACCTAATAATGGCGATTAAGTACTCCAACTTCCAAAATACCTCTTCTAAAACGTGCCAATAGCATGTTTCTCTCTTAGCTAGGTTGCTCCCTTCATGTAGTATAATGTTGTGCAAAATGCAAATGGTTCTCCCACAACAGTTTTAACTGTGTTTTTCACGTTCATTGCACTTTGCACTTTAAATTTGTGTATTAGAATTAGGACCAGAGCACGTGTTTTTGATAATTGAGATATTTCGAGGAAGATTTATATCTTCTGATCTAGTGTTGATATTATTCGAGTGCATTTGAGTTGAAGATCTTAACTTGGTCTCGCCATGATATGGTTGATACTGATATGTAATGCAATCAAATATTTGGTCTTAGACTTTGATTTGTGCGAAACTTTTTAAAGTTATAATCATCCTTCAAGACAAACTACCATGGTTATGAATGGATACTTTAGCAAAAGGTCATTAGTCGATATTTAATTTTTACATCCATCCCCCCCCCTCCCCTCCACAAAAAAGAAGGACATGCCTTCTCCGTCTCGTTCAAGTAACTTAATTTTCTTGGACTTAAACGTGAGAAAGTAGAAGTTGCTGGTAATGGATATTGGATCAAAGTTGAATCTAGCTAGTTTTTAGACCAAAAGAATATAAATGATAAGATTAAGGAATGGTTGAGGTCAATTAAACAATTTAATTATTAACTACTTCACTGAAAAGATGCTACTCTAATATAAGTCATTTTGATTTGTCCTAAGTTTTACTTAGTACGCATATTTACTTGACGAAAAAATATTAAAATATATTTTCACATTCGTCGTATTCTCTTGATCGTTATGAAATATTTTTAAAGTTTTTTCGTTAATTAAAAATGCGTGCGAGGTTAAACTTAAGATAAATTAAAATGTCTTATATTAAGGACTGGAGGAGTATTATATATAGTGTAGAGAATCTGTCTTTTAGATGGATTGGTTAGTTATGAAAACAACACTCGACAATTCTGAGCTAGCAACAGGTGAGAGATGACTCATACTGCACCAAACAAGGTCTTTTAATTTTTTATTATACACAAATTAATATCAGAATTCAGAAGACCGCATATCACACTCAAATAAGTATCCGTTCAATCTTTAGGAAAAAAGTGTTTCTCCGATCATGTGGCTCGAATGTGATTATGTCTGTTTCAGAGATCCGAACTCATTAGTACACTCATGTCGCCTTGATCGGTTGAAACTTATTGTGGAAAAATAAGATAAAAGAAAAGACCCAAAGAAAAATAGAAAAGCATATATATAGTTTACAACAGGCTGTCATTACTTCATTATAACTTGTTCTTTAGAAAACGTAAATATCATTAATCATTTATTTAATTGCATTATAAATGCATAATCAGTAAGTAATGATGGTTCTTCCATTTAATAATCATTTTATTTTGATAATCGCTCATAGCAGCCATGGAACTTTTTTCCTTCTTTTTTTTTTGTCGGTCTATATTTAAACACAAAATATACCAAATCGAGAGCATGGAATTATGAAGACGAGCAAAAGATACGCAGAATGGAGAGTGATGTTTCCAAATCATTTGAGCAGTAGGGAAGGAAAAAGGAAATTTTACTAATTTAAACTGTACGGAAAAAAATAAAATGTGTGTGCTAAAAGAAATCTAATTATTATTCGCAAAATTTTACTATGCACTCATTGATTCAGAAAAAATTTACAACCCGTCCAACGGACGGGCCACCCACTAGTATATTTCTAGACATAGAAACAATATACGTCCAACCAAAAGTTTAATAATATTCAGCAACAATAATTAAAATACATAATGCCTCGTCAAAAAATTAGATTTTAGACAAAGTTGATGGATAAGTGTATTTTCAGAAATCAAGTGAGCAATAAAAAAGTATACGAGTAATGTCAAACTCCGGGGTTCTTCGCACTTGGATAGTACCAGGACCCTTGTGCCCCGGCACCAAATAGAAGATATCGCAAACAATCGTAATGCGTTAACTAATTGGTTTTCTTCCCCTCAAATAAATTAAAATAAAAAATAAATCTTGTAACGTAAAATCAATTCTCAAAAAATCTGTTTGCTCAAATCCAGATTATAATTAGAATAATGTCTCACTCTCATTTTCATAACTTCGGCTGCAACCGTACATTTGGACAATCACCTAGCCGGCCGTGTTCAGATTTTCGGCCACCCCTGCACCATTGTCGTCACCAAAATCATTTCCCAATCATTGACAAGTAACTACTAATGTAAGCTAGAATTTCCCAAAACAAAAAAAAAAAAAACTAATGTAAGCTAGCTAGTACCGGGAAGCCAATGCTTCTTACCTTGGACAGCTTTAGTGCTACACAATCTAAAAATTGTTGGGGAAACGTATATAAAAAGAAATACTAAACCATATGTCTAAATTTAAATGAATAAGTTTTAACGCTGATGTATAAAGTGCGCAGGCAGTTAGGTTAACTTTTTCTTTAAAAAAAAAAAAATTAATTTGCATGTCGTTAGTGCAAGACATGCAGTCGAGTAGATTGGAACTAAAAATTACTTTAGGGATAATGCAGCGAGGACATTGAACATTATCGACGTTGAAAATCCTAAAAGTATGAAAAAATATCTATAATTCAAGTTGTCGCTTTCTCTAAATATGTTTTATAATTGTTTCGAAATCTTGTCTACTTAAATTAGAGCGTGCATGTAACTCTCAGAAAGATCATAGTGAAACTTGTATGTGTAATTTCATAACCACTGCCCGCCAGCAAACCATTTTTTGATCGTAGAACCTAAGCTATATTTAGCCTCTAGATTAAGACGAATAAGTATTTTTATTAACACAAACTTGCGGAACCACTACATTATTGTATTTCTTAATTACGATAGCGTAGCATCAAATGACACATAGATCGACCAGAGAAAGAAGATCAACAAATAATTGATGACAAATGAATTAATATTATATATATATAATAATTTTGCAACTTGGCATACTGAACAAATTATAGAGCAGATATACGAAGAAAAAAATAGATTAAATTGCGAGCAGTTATGGAATCAAAATCTTAGCATTTTTGGGCAGCTTGGACCTACGCAGATTTTGGGAGTTAATTTTAGCTTTGTACATTTCTTTTTCATACGTCAAGTAATTGTCTGCAGCCCTACATATAATTAACAATTCCACATTAGGCCACATTAGGGTTTAAAATTAAACATATTTAGCTTCAAAGTTGCATGCAATTTGCTAATGGTCATAACCAATGGGAGTTTTGCATATACAGAGACTTGTTGCAATGAAATTAATTAGTTCATTATTATAAAGCTAGCTCGGTTGTCATTCTGACTTAGTTAACTATAATTCTCACATATATACATCATTGATCGTGTTGATTTTACGGTGGACCCGTCTTTAAGTGTTTTATTTGATTATATATATATAGGATGTGGTTAAACCCTAAGCTAAATATGAAGCTAGGTTTGATGAACTCTGGCCTAACCTGGACTCTGATACCAATGTTGGAGATTTATTCGGGAAAGCAAACCCGACATGCAACCCAATAAGTAAGATAAGACTCATTTGGACTCAAAATATTGGGTCTTGAATTTATCTTACTTATTAACTGATTCACATGTCATCATACCTCCGATGTAAATTCACAATTCTTGCCACATGACTCTCAACTTTACCCCCTTCTCTCGAAAAATGGTGACAATATTGTCAGCTAATGCCTAAAGGTCATGTATTTGAAGATTTATAGATCAGTCCTTCGTTTGAGTAGGTCAGAACATCTATATTTCTATAGTTTTTTTTTTTTTTCTTTATGGGTGGTAATTATCATTAAAACTGAAAGGATAAAATTGAATGGTAGAGATGCATCTATTATTAATCAGGTAATCAGAGGTCGGGCGGCTAACATATATTTATTTTTATTTTTATTTTATTTTATTGAGAATTTCAATTTCATTAATAAAAGAGCGGAAAAAAATAAAGGTACAATCCAATGCACAGGAAATAACACGTCGAATGCAGCTAGTTAACATACCAAATAAGGGTTTAGGCTAATATATATTTAGCGCAATACTCTTACAAACTCCAATAGCCTTATACCTTAATTTAGTCACTATGTATTAACACACCACATAATAAATGTGGTAATTTGAGTTTAAACCTCTGAAATCAGTAGTTTCGCGCGACTTTTAACTTCATTTGTTGATAAAAAATCATGATAAGCAGCTGCTTTTTGTCCACCAAAACAAAAGAAAAGAGAAAGGTAATTGAGTGTTGGACTTGCGGCAAATCTAGAGAATAAAAAAGCTCTACCAATGAAATGCTTACATGCATGGAGTTAACCAAACCACGTGTTTTGTGTGGTTCTAAGTTCTAACCACAAATTAGGAAAAATCGAATTAACATTAGAGATTCCAAAAGAAGCATAAAGTGTGTCCTCCGTCGGGTAGTAACAGATTTTTCTGGGAAGAGCTGAAGTTTGAACTTTTGAAGGGTTTTTATGCTTACATATTCCATTTGGGATGCCTTCGAAATTCCAA